CAGCTTGCCCGGGGTGGATGCACACTCAGAGTAGCATCACAAACATCATATATTCACCTTAGTATACATAACACCAACATGACACACAAAAATATGATAAACTATTAATATGTATAATAATTCGTTAATCTGTGCGCAGAGGCCAAAGTCGCTGATATATAGGCGTTCCAGTTGATCATTGCGTTTCAATTCATTCATTAATAATATAGACAGAATGATGCAATAATTATAGTTATATCTGAGTAAACAAAACTAAAATTGATCTAAATGTGCTTTTAAATTGAATTTTAAATTAACATTTCATTTCATAATCAATTGATTCCCAAATTTTTGAGGCTATAAATCTAGGCTTTCCATAATCTGTTCGACTATAAAATTCTGCTCATCACGAGCAAATCTAGTTATGCATGAGTTTATGTTTTCATCCGCGTTTAATATCAAATATATATAATATATAATCGCGATATAATATCAGATATACTAACAGAAAAATTTGTGGGAATAATGGACATTGCCCAAAGATAAATTGATTAAATTTTTGTTGCGAGTCTCCGCGGATGCCCTAGCTCTAGTTCCATTTATTGTAATTTTTGTTTTTCATAATCATTACGTACTATATTGCCTATATTGAGTAGGCGTGTGTGGTAGAATACCTCCTAGCGCATACGTCGACCCATGCAATGAACGATAACATGCATTAACCTTGACGCACTCTAATTACTTGCGTCAGATAATGTTAATGCCCATTTAATAAACACTTGAGCTGCAATCCTGCGCACGACACGCACTTTGCCATCTATTCTGGGTTATCAATAGGGGAAAATTTCAACCTTGCAGCAAGGTGCTTTAGCTTTGTTACCCCCCAGAAAATGCAATGAAAATGTAACATGATCGGAATTCCTGGGAACGGGGTCGCGCGGGAGAATCTTACCCAGGTTTAGCGCTAATTAACCCATGCAACTTTGAACAACCGGCCCTTATCTTTGCTATTTGTTTACAATTGCGTCGAAGTTCGTGATTTATAAAATTTGAAACCTGCGTTCCCCAATCAAAACATAGCTAAAATCCAGAAACAAAATTAATGGAATATATTGTCCATGCAGAAACGAGAAATAACTGAAAAGTTGAAAACGGAGAACGGATATTGAATACACCGCAAGCACGATACACGGCATCCATGTCGGGATCGAAAAACGTTTAATAAAAAGATGACTGAACGAAGAACGAATAATTAAATTACCCCAATACGGAGCACAAAAATACCCCATTACCCCCCTCTAGAAACGTGCTTGTACTGTAGCAGTTAAACTATTTGCGCGGTGATAAATGAGATTTGTGGAGTTATCAGTGCAATTTTATACATGCAGTAACAACTAGTATATCTTTTATGTATAAAATTAACGGTCGTGCAAAATCAATAATCAGAAATCATTGAAAGTATAATACATCAATATTAAAATTTATGCACTCTTTTATATGGATCAATATGGATCTTTAGTGAAAAATCAATAGCCGGAGATCATTGAAAGTGTTTTTTGAGTATTATAATTAATACTCATAAATATTAAGATTTAGGCACCTTTATGTTCTGTCTCCGAAATATATTATCGCTAATAGACACCCATTAACAACTCCGCAGAGTGACACTGATTGATTTACATATTGTATTGACATACGACTGTTGACATTACTTTTTAGCCTATATACTGACTCTTCCAGTCCATCATCCGTTATCCGTACGCGCGTTCGCGATTTTTAGCCCCGCGCGCTCATTGTTCTCACACTGATCTCTATTCGAAACTGAAGCGACGAGGCAGTATTTGAGTGACTCATTTTTTCAAGTGCATGATTGAATCGTTTTTGTAGTGATGCACGCAATCGCAAATTCCATAGTAAGAATTTCACTATTTTTTCCCACTTCAAACATATATTAAAAAATCTATCAAAATAGATTGTGTTTACGTCATTTCAAAGAGAGCCTGGATATTGGATACAGCACGCAAATTGCCGGAAAAAGGAAGTGCACCCTTCAAATATTGAATCGAGTGAGATGCCATGAAAAAAATCTTGATATTTACCCATAACCTAAAAACATGCATGGCAGTACCCCCAAAAAAGTATACATGAACTTATGGTTAGAGCTGGACAACTATAGCCTCTGTAGCTCAATTCCTGCCAGGGACCAAAAGTTGGGTGACCAAGCCTGACCTTGTGGTATATTTCGCTTCTCTGGCGAAGTTTGTTTGCCTCCCTTGGAATCTGAGCAGTCCTTTAACCTTCCCTGCTATAAACTACTTTATGGAAAGGAGGGGCCCTCACAATAACTCAACCCAACTAACGGCTAACTTTATTTATACTGATTAACTAGATCTGTCATTTCTAAACTGTTCGGGAGGTTCAATATCCAGTGGCAATTCAGTATGGTTAAAATACAAGACCACCTCAGGCTGACAAATAATTATACCGGTTCCTGAAACTATATACTAGAGAAAAGAGAAATAGGAACCGACTTTGGCTTATTTCCTATACCAAGTTATAAGAACCACTTCAGCCTGTCACCAAAAAATGTTTTTTATGCTGTACCCGCGGGAAAACCAGCTGTGTGTGTTAGAATCAAGTTAGAACTACTACACATTGTAGAAATTAAGCTTGAGACACTGTACTAACCACTGAGCGACCAACGCCCCTTTTAGTTTCAAGGAAGAGACCAGACTGGCCGCAACGTTTTCTCGTAAATGTAATTTGCTCGGGGACTGATTTCATTTACTTAAACCAAATAGGAAAACATGTCTGATGCTATATCTAACTAACATACATACACATAAACTTTAATTGTCAAAATGACAATGAAATAACGTACGTCAGGTTTTGTTATACAAGTCAACTGTGTTGTTTGTATTCCTATATGCATTTTCTATACGTGTCGACTCCCAAGCTATAATTATCAAACGGAAACATGCTCCCAATATTACAATATGTATTCGAGAATGATCGAAACCTCCAAAGATGATCAAAGGAATATGACAAATTAGCCGGTTATAGACGACGATATAAGGTTTTAATATAGCAATTGTGCCAGTATATTGCACAACAAATTTTCTATAACAATATTTTCGTGATCTGATCGCGTTTTCGCATGAACATACACAAGTGCATGGTTAAGAACTGAAATAATAACAAGGGCGGCCCTAGTAATTCTGAATGAATTAGTGTTGAAAAAAGGACTTCAAATAAAAGATTCCATGCAATATAACGAAGTTATTTCATGCTCACTGGAGCCACATATATATACATGGCCTAATATACCTAAACAACGTAATATAATTATATAGCTTGAGTACACAGACTCTTTGCATGTGCTGTGAAGCCTGCGCCGTCAAGCTAACTTAATTCATGCACTAAAGAAAATATAGCCTATGCATGCAAGAACTGACAGACTCCTGAATAAATTAGTTTTGGTGTGCACATGTAATGTCTCTGTAAACGTCGGTGACTGGGGCCCGATTCTGGAAAATTTAGTAAGTAGAGTATTAATTTATCCCTAGCTGTAGATGTCTTTCATTCACTTTCTCAAGATTCTGACTATTCCGGTTTCCTAATAATGATTCCAAATCACTTCATGGATTCCAATGTTACATATATGTTATGTTACAGGGTGAAATTTCAGCCGTGCAACATGGCTCTTTACATTTGGTGCTCCGGAACGTGATAACACGAGCAGAGATCCTCGATGTGTATACGAAGTCAAAGGTTCTACAGTGGAACATCTATTATGCAATGGTGACTAAACAGCTCCATTCAATAAAGAGAAAGTTCATGCAGGTCCAGATTCGTAATTAGAATCCTCCATTGTTGAAACGGGAACTATTTTGAGGTGCAATAACCAGTTTATGCAGTAAATTTGTGTTTTTGTAAATTTAAGTTTATGCAGGAGATTTGTATATATAACGCTATTTTGTGCAGTAATAATTCGCGATCTACATTTCAAATATAAAATTAAAGGTCGTAATTGCGGATCACCCATGAAAAATTATTTTCAAAAGTAGCTACATGCAGCTGCTAGCTTCTGTTCATATAATCTGAATTAGAGACAAAAAGGAGAATTTTATACTATCATGATACATGTATATATAAATCATTTTAAATCTGCATGTGCACAGTGGCAAAAAAAGTTGCATATATATATATAAATATAAACTTTTGAGTTGATGAAGGGAGTCAATAATTTGAATAAACAAAAAAGATATTGTTCTTAATATAAAGCCAATTTTAAACCGTTGAATTTAAACGACTTTTATATTTTTAATGAGATTGGTGCAGTTATATATTTAACAAATATAAAACATTTTCCGTGTTGATATACAGTTATATCAACACGAGTGGAAATTGGGAAAACGAGAAATTGTGTGGAAACACGACGCCCGAAGGGCGGAGTGTTTTCACACAATTTCGAGTTTTCCCAACTTCCACGAGTGTTGATATAACTATATATCAATACGGAAAAAATGTTTTATATTTGTTTTATAATATATCAATGTCAAAAGCCCGAAGAATAAGAAAAATTTCCGTGTTAACAAGCGGCGGAAAATTTCCCGTGTTGACATGGAGTTATATCAACACGGCTCTTAGCCAATCAGCGTTCAGAATTTACAAATGCTATATTATAAATATATATATTAAGTAAACGCAATTTTGTGCAATAGTAATTCTCACTACTGTATCTTTCATATACAAAAACTATGGTAACGGATCACCCATCAAGAATTTATTTTCAAAAGCACAGGTATGCATGCATTCACTGCAGCTTATCAACGAATTAGGCTACAGGCAATGAAAAAGAATTTTATTAGCACAGCAACTTTTACACTTTATTATATAAAGTATAGTGCTTTGCAGAGATTTCGAGCACTGATATAAAAGTGATAATCTCACTCGTGAGATATCATGTTCAACACTCGAAATAAATCTGGTATTTCCGCGCACCCATGTATTATTCTCTATTTATTATATAAAGTATAGTGCTTTATAGAGATTTCGAGCAGTGATAAAACTGATAATCTCACATGTGAGATAATTTATGATAATCTCAGATGTGAAAATTATCGCTTTTCAATTATCGCTTTTCTGTAAAAATTATCACTTTTCAAAGACTGTCCTTTATATAATAAACAGAAAAATACATGGGTGCTTGGAAATACCAGTTTTATTTCTCGTGTTGAACATGATATCTCACTCGTTCGCTGCGCTCGCTCGTGAGATATCATGTTCAACACGTGAAATAAATCTGGTATTTCCAAGCACCCATGTATTATTCTCTATATACCCGCATATTAAAATTATAAGTATATGATATCATGTTCATGCGGTATAGGAATCTGTAATCGCATCTATTCTTGAATACCAATAGGGGAACCTGTGCAACGCAGTTATATATTACGTATAAACGCAATTTTGTGCAATAATAATTGCAACGCCGTGAAAATGGTAGAACGAGCAGGGGAACATGACCACGCGGGAGGATTTTATATGCCAATGGTTCTACGGTGGAACTTTTCCCGTTGTTTAAAAGCATTAACGAAAAACTCACTCAGTCACAGCAATATTTCTGGCATGCGCAGCTGGTTTAAAAACATGGAAGGTTTTCTTCCCAGAAATTTCCTTTCTTCCAACGATTTGTTTGCGATATCAATATCCTATAAACACAATCTATTTTGATCGATGTTAATTTTGGTAAAAAATAATACTATTTTCGAAGGGGAAAAAATTGCATATACATAAACCTTACATTACCAACCTCAAATATATTGAAATTTATGCATGGATTGATCGTATATTTTGATCAATTTCTTTGACAATATTTGATTTGCATATCCATTACCCAACATACGTTTCTTACACGTGTCGGCATGCCCCAAGCTGTAATTAACAAACGGAAACTTGTCTTCTCACGGAAAGTGCTCTCTCAATATTAAAATATATTCGAGAGTGATGGAAACGTGCAAAGGAAGGATAAACGCTGCGCGTTTCTAGACCATAGATAACTTATATACACTAGATAATGCATCTAATTATTCTGCAATTCAAAAATTAAAGCCGTGATTGCAGACTCAGGATATTCCCATGAAATGAGAAGACTAGTATATGTTTTCTATTTCTTAAACAGGGAACTTAAACCTAGACCTTTCACGAGATAGCCTGCGAGCAGGCTCTTAAACTTGTATTAGAGTGCTGTACATGTAAACATTTTGCTGATCCAAACCATTTTTAACCCAACCCAAATATCAATTAAAAAATAAATTCCCACCTCTGGCCAAAAACGTTACAAAAAGATACCATTCAGTTATCATACAAATGCTTTACCACTTCTGCAATACCAGTTTGATAACTGCTTGTGCAAAAGTTTCATGTTGTCTGCACATGTACTTTCTTTGGAGTCACCATTTGCCTCCTAAAAAAATCAGAAAATGAACCTTACTATGGAAATAGTATGTTATGTATTTATTATGGATTTTGGTGATGCACACAATCGTGTTAAATGTTTTAAACACGAACAATATTACTTTCCTTCGATGATATGATAATTTTTTCCCCTAAATACATTAAAACATCTATCAAAATAGATTGTGTTTACGCAAACTTGAAGAGAGGATATTGATACACTAGCACGCAAATTGTTGAAAAAAGGAAGTGCACCCTTCAAATATTGAATAAGATGCCAACAAAATCTTGATATTTACCCATGTATAACCTAAAAACATGCATGGCAGTAACCAAAATATATATATACATGAACTTGTGGTTATAGAGCTCGACAACTATAGCCTCTGTAACTCAATTCCTGCCAAGGACCTAAAGTTGCATTTTTCGCAGCTGTTCCTGGTTAAGTGTAATAAAATGTGTATGAATTTCCACTCGGTAATTTCCATCAACAACTCCCAAATATTTAAGCAAATTACACTCCTCCTTCCCATGGACGGTGACCAAGCCTGACCTTGTGGTATTTTTCGCTTCTCTGGCAAAGTTTGTTTGCCTCCCTTGGAATCTGAGCAGTCCTTTATCATTCCATGCCATAAATTTTCCCAACTACTTTATCGAAAGCAGGTGGTTACAATAAACTCAACCCAACTAAGCTAACTTTATTTATACCAGATAGCCAGATAGTGTCATTTCGAAACTGTTCGGGAGGTTCAATATCAATCCAGTGGCAATTCCGTACGGTTAAAATACAAGACCACCTCAGGCGGACAAATATTTAATATGTCTTGAGAGCCTTCAATGTTAGTTAGTTTCTCAGGGATACTTGTCAGTATTAAATCCAAAATATTATTCTCTCGCGTTGGAAGTATGCGCTGTGCTAAACAGCAGCTATGCCGAACAACAACTACCTAAATCTTGGAAGCTTGCCAACATTGTGGAGTGTATCTAAAAGTCGAGGGTCGAGAGTCGAGAGTAAAGGTCGAGAGTCGAGAGTAAAAGTCGAGAGTCGAGAGTAAAAGTCGAGAGTCGAGAGTAAAAGTCGAGAGTCGAGAGTAAAAAGTCGAGAGTCGAGAGTAAAAAGTCGAGAGTCGATCGAGTAAAAAGTCGAGAGTCGATCGAGAGTAAAAAGTCGAGAGTCGGCAAATGTCATCAGAAACAACAAAGTCAAAATACTTTTACAGTAACACAATATATAAGCGATCCGTAACAACGGTTGATTATAGCCGTACGAGCGAGGGGGGGAGGCAGTCCCGCACCCCAGTCAAAATAAATTCGGCCACAAATTGGGGGAAATAAATTTAAAAAGAAGACAGTATATGCAATATGGTATTTGAAAATACCAGAAATATGTAAAAGTAACGAGGAATCGACAAATAGGAAAATATTTTTGTCTACTTCCCAACGACAATTTTGGAAATTTAGCTACGCGGAAAATTTTATTCAGTGGGTAAAAGTCGGGTAAATTTCTTTTTGGCTCCCTTTTTTTTCCCGCCTGTACGCCTATGACGGCTGAACCTTTCATTCCCTGTGTATCGGAACATAAAGCAAACAATATTTGCGAAACATAATTTAGTATGCTCAAATTCTCGAAATTAAAGTAAACAAGAGGCATATACATGCAATCAAAGGAATAATCCAGTACAATATAAAACAAAAACTTTCGCAAAAATTTAGCCACAACATTCAATAATCAAATAACTATTATCTAATAACTAGTTTTATCGCTTCCTTATATATTACTGTCCATCCTTCCCGCTTTACATGCACCTATTTCCGCGAAAAATTACTCATATGTGAAGCTACATATAAATACTAGGACTTTACAATCACGTGCGAGACATATTACCACCCGATAGAGTCGCACATACGACAAAAGAATCCTATTTTTACTGGCTCGTATTTATGAATTCACAATTGTATGAATCGTTAGATTGTGATCAACGTGGATTTCTTAATACGCTCTCGTTTGATCTAAACGTACGTTAATGAATAAGTGACATTTTAGTTACAAGCCTGGAGATGGCTGTCAAAATTCAGCGGAGTTTATGTGCATGTCAGAATGAAATGACATGTGAAAACATTTAGCAAGATTGAGGGCATATTGTAAACACTGGACTGGACTTTGGACTGGACTTTGGACTTTGGACTATGGACTATGGACTATGGACTTTGGACTTTGGACTATGGACTTTGGACTATGGACTATGGACTTTGGACTTTGGACTTTGGACTTTGGATTTTCGATTTTGAAATTATATTATTTTTTAGATTTTCGTATAATTATATTAAAATCTAAACAGAGAACGAAAATTTGCTGCTGAAAAGCGTGCTACACTGCATGCACATGCATATGCATGATATCGAGCATGATATAATAATATACAAGGTAAAAAATCTCTAGTATCAGTTATATAGGTATACCAGCAGTGCAATTTCATACGGATATAGCCTGTAGGACAGCAGGATTATCCAATATTTTGGGATTTAATATTTAAATTTTATATAATATTTGTATTTATAGTATGCATAGTACAGTATATAGTGCAGAACTTCTTCTTTATCATATAGATAATAGATTAATTGTCAGAAACAATTGTGACATGACAAAAGTGTCTCGGCAAATACAAAATATTAACTATACAAGTGATTATTATCGCGCCTATTGAGTATTGAGTATTGTGATTGTTCATCTTTGCATAATAATTTATACTAGTACTGTATTGTGTAATTGCGAGTGTAATTGTTTACTCCGTTACACAGTAACGTTTTGTTAATGTTACTTATTTTTGAAAGACATTCTAGTTAGCTATCCTTATCACTATAAGACTAAGTGCTTCAGTTATTATTAATAATTAAGTGTTAGTAGATGGACAGGAATATTCGACTAATGGAAATTTACACACTTTTTAAGACCTACTCAGTTGTGTGTGAGAAGGCAAAAACTGATCTATGTCTATGTACTTCAGGTAGTCTAGCAACTATTTGCCACGTTTACTCAGTAATACTACCACTTGCAAGTGATGAACCAGGCGGGAATCGCAATCGTAGTATAAAGATTAATGCTCAGCCGCATAACGTACGCAAAAGAGCCATAATAAAAGTAATACTAATTACTATAGATTATCATAAAGTAATCAGTGCTACCAATTATATAATAATGTATCATACATTCGTATTTTATAAAGTATGATGCGGACTATGAGAGTTTTCGTGTTCACTATGGCTGAATACATTTATGAAAAGCTAAAACTGACACAGACAAAATACATTGTAAACACAGCCTATTTAGGCAGGCGCTAAACCGGTGTAAACTATTATGTAAAGATGAACAATACCGTCATTAGTATTTTTGCGCAAGTAAATAAATAGTACAACAAATCCTACAAGTTGTCAAGTTGATTGGTCAAATTTGACAAATTCCCTAGCCTCCTTCGCAGACATCGGAGAGAACGTACACACTGGCGGCTGCGAGGGAGACTACAAATTCCCGGATAATCACGGCCTCGCCTTGGGCGAATAATTGTTCAAAGCCAAAGGCGCAATAATAATCGCGCGTAGTTTATACTTATACGTGATAGTTTCTCAATATTTTGTATTTGCCAAGCTACTTTTGTCGCAATTGTTTCTATAAATCTATTATATATACGATAAAGAAGAAGTTCTGCAGTATAAACTGTACTATACATACTATAAATACAAATATTATAATAAAATTTAAAAAATACTACTGAGATGATCCTGTTATCCCACAGGCTATATCTATGAAATTGCACTGGTATACCTATATAACTGACAGTATTTTTTACCTTGAATATTGTATCATGCACAAATTTTCGTTCTCTGTTTAGATTTTAATTAATATAATTATACGAATATTTTAAAAATATAACTTCAAAATCGAAAGTCCAAAGTCCAAAGTCCAAAGTCCATAGTCCAAAGTCCAAAGTCCAGTCCAGTGTTTACAATATGCCCAAGATTGAGGCGCCAAGCGGGCATATTGTAAACACTGGACTGGACTTTGGACTATGGACTTTGGACTTTGGACTTTGGACTTTGGACTTTCAATTTTGAAATTATATTTTTTTTTTAGATTTTCGTATAATTATATTAAAATCTAAACAGAGAATGAAAATTTGCTGCTGAAAAGCGTGCTACACTGCATGCACATGCATGATATAATAATATACAAGGTAAAAAATCTCTAGTATCACTGAGTTACATAGGTATACCAGCAGTGCAATTTCATACGGATATAGCCTGTAGGATAGCAGGATTATCCAATATTTTTGGATTTAATATTTAAATTTTATATAATATTTGTATTTATAGTATGCATAGTACAGTTTATGCTGCAGAACTTCTTCTTTATCATATAGATAATAGATTAATTGTCAGAAACAAATGTGACAAAAGTGTCTCGGCAAATACAAAATCTAGTATTAACTATATACAAGTGATTATTATTGCGCCTATTGAGTATTGAGTATTGTGACTGTTCATCTTTGCATAATAGTTTATACTAGTACTGAATTGTGTAATTGTTTACTCCGTTACACAGTAACGTTTTGTTAATGTTACTTATTTTTGAAAGACATTCTAGTTAACTATCCTTATCACTAAGACTAAGTGCTTCAGTTATTATTAATAAGTGTTAGTAGATGGACAGGAATATTCGAACGGCAATTTACACACTTTTTAAGACCTACTCAGTTGTGTGTGAGAAGGCAAAAATCTATGTCTATGTGCTTCAGGTAGTCTAGCAACTATTTGCCACGTTTACTGTAATACTACGTAGGCTACCACTTGCAAGTGATGAACCAGGCGGGAATCGTAATCGTAGTATAAAGATTAATGCTCAGCCGTATAACGTACGCAAAAGAGTCATAATATATATAGACAATAATATAGACATAAATATATACATAAAGTAATACCATATAGATTATCATAAAGTAATCAGTACTACCAATTAATAATGCATGTATCATACATTCGTATTTTATAAAGTATGATGACTATGAGAGTTTTCGTGTTCACTATGGCTGAAACATTTATGAAAAGCTAAAACTGACACAGACAAAATACATTGTAAACACAGCCTATTTAGGCAGGCGCTAAACCGGTGTAAACTATTATGCAAAGATGAACAATACCGTCATTAGGGACCGGTCATTATTTATGGTGGGGGGTGGCACCGAAGAGAAATGTTTTTCCTGGTAAAAATTTTGCTGACCCAACCATTAAAAAGCAAAAAATTTGATTACCCAACCTCAAATATCAATTAAAAAATAAATACCCACCCCTGGCCAAAAAATTTACAAAAGGTACTATTCAGTTGTCACATATGTCCTTTACCACTTCTGTGACATAAGTTTGATAATGGATTGTGAAATTTTCTGCAGTCTGAAGTTTCATGTTGTCTGCACATGTAGCTACTTTCTTTGGAGATTCCATTGGAAATTGATCAAGATAATGACTCTGATTGATATATACTTTTCGTTGTTTCTTTACACATTTAGTAAATCTTAGTATAACACCAAGTTCATCAATTGCTGCTATTTTGCTAGCAAATCCATGTATAATAAACCCGGGTGTTTTGCAATCAAAAGTGATGCAACCTGGATAGTGGAATAAGTTGATTACTGTAGGCACAATTTTTGGCCACTTAATAGTCAAAGGTCATGCATAAATAAGAACAGTCTTAATTAATATTACCGCCTTACGGAGAATTTATATTAATTGTGCTACTCTAGGATCTAGAAGACCCATAGGTCCCAAACTTGACTAGCAACATAATCAAGTTAGCTATGTTAATTCATTATATATAGGATCAATGTTAAAGGCAAGGTGGGCTATAAGCTATAATCATTTGTGTGACTTATAGAAGACTAATTGCTGCGAATAAATTGAATAATGAATGTAGCACAATATTAAATAG